TAGTCCCAGCTACTTGGGAGGCTGAGGCAAGAGAATTGCTTAAGCCCAAGAGTTTGAGGTTGCTGTAAGCTGTGATGCCATGGCACTCTACCCAGGGCAACATAGTAAGAGTCTGTCTCAAAAAAAAAAAAAAAGAAAAAGAAAATGTGCCTGGTAAAATTAGTATCAGTATCAAATCCTTTAATTTCACATTTTACAGTTTTCACCATATTTAACTATGCCTTATGACAAATATGCAAAGATTAGATATAGGAGAACTTTGGTTTTTATGAAATCTCATATTTTAATTTTCAAGATTGATAATACATATTTATACATGCATACGAAAATATCTGAATGTGTCTTTCCAGAATGATCAGGAAATACTTCATTTCTTTTCCTTTTATTGCTTTAAGGACTACTCTCTATAGAGAACTTGCAATTTCATTAGAAATTTTACTTGGGCAGTAGGTGAAATTACTCAGATATGCATAATTTGGTTAGAGTCTGAGAACCATCATAACTATACTTAATGTAAATTTTTATTGTAATTATTTAATAATAAAGTGTTATACAACAGAAAAACTTATATTTAACTTTGTTGTCTGAATTTTCTTAGCGCTACACCAAAAATTGTTTCTAAAGCAAAGAGTATTAAAGTTGAAAATAAAAGTAATTTGTCTGCTGTTCCACTGAACAACTTGGAACCTATAACTAATATAAAGATCTGGTTAGCCAATGGGAAAAGGATTGTCCAGAAATTTAACATTTCTCATAGGTGAGTTTTCCGTTTCAGTATTTGTCTGATTTTTTTTCTCAAGTTTAAATACTATGTTTTAAAATTAGTCATTGTTGGCCAGGCGCAGTGGCTCATGCTTATAATTCCAGCACTCTGGGAGGCCATGGTGTGTGGATTGTTTGAGTTCACAGGTTGGAGACCAGCTTTGAGCTACAGCAAGACCCCATTTCATAAAAATAGCTGGGTGTAGAAGCCCAAGTGCCCATCGACCCACAAATGGATTAATAAATTGTGGTATATGTACACCATAGAATATTATGCAGCCTTAAAGAAAAATGGAGACTTTACCTCTTACATGTTTACATGGATGGAGCTGGAACATATTCTTCTTAGCAAAGTATCTCAAGAATGGAAGAAACAGTATCCCATTTACTCAGTCTTACTATGAAACCAACTTACAGTTTTCTTATGAAAGCTATAACCCAATTATAGCCCAAGAAGAAGGGGAGAGGGAGTTGGGAGGACGGGTAGAGGGAGGGTAATTGGTGGGGCCACACCTACTGTGCATCTTACAAGGGTACATGTGAAATTTACTAGGTGTAGAATATAACTGTCTAAACACAATAACTAAGAAAATGCTGTGAAGGCTACGTTAACCAGTTTGATGAAAATATTTCAAATTGTTTATAAAACCAGCACTTTGTACCCCCATGATCTGGTGTACACAGCTATGATTTAATTAAAAAATTAGTCCTAGCTACTTGGGAGGCTGAGGCAAGAGGATCGTTTTTTCTTTCCCCCAGGGCTGGATTTGAACCCACCACCTCTGGTTTATGAGGCTGGCGCCCTACTCCTTTGAGCCACAGGCACCGCCCCAAGAGGATCATTTGAGCCCAGGAGTTGGTGGTTGCTGTGAGCTGTGTGACACCACGACACTCTACCAAGGGCAACAAAGTGAGACTTTGTCTCTACTAAAAAAAAAAAAAAAACAATAATAATATTTTTGCTTTTGGGGTGAGCACAGAGGCTCAAACCCATAATCCTAGCACTCTGGGAGGCCGAGGTGGGTGAATTGCCTGAGCTCACAGGTTTGAGACTAGCCTGAGCCAGAGTGAGACCTGGACTCTAAAAATAGCTGGGCGTTGTGGCAGGCGCCAGTAGTCCCAGCTACTTGGAAAGCGAGGCAAGAGAATCACATAAGCCCTTTGCGGTTGCTGTGAGATATGACCCATGTCACTTGGTAGGGTAACAAAGTGAGATTCTGTCTCCAAAAAAAAAATAATAATAATAGTTTTTACTTTCTGGCTTGACGCCCATAGCTGAGGGAGTAGGGGGCCAGCCACATACACTGAGGCTGGTGGTTTGAGCCCTTCTGGGGCTTGCTAAGCAGCAATGACAACTGCAACCAAAAATAGCCCTGGGTTGTGGTGGACACCTATAGTCTCAGCTATTCGGGAGGGCAAGGCAAGAGAATCACTCAAGCCCAAGATTTTGAGGTTGCTGTGGGCTGTGACACCATGACACTGTACCAAGGGTGACATAGTGAGACTTTGTCTCAAAAAATAATTAAATAAATAAAAATAATTTTTACTTTATAATAACTTAATGCTTTTTTCTGTTTATCAGGTACTGGAGGAAGTGTGTTAAAACCTCCAACTGTGGGCGGCGCCTTTGGCTCAACGGAGTAGGGTACTGGCCCCATATGCTGGAGGTGGTGGGTTCAAACCCAGCCCCGGCCAAAAACTGCAAAAAAATAACAAAACCTCCAACTATGATTATGGATTTGTCTTTCTCCCTTTAGTTTTGTTAACATTTGGTTTATATATATACATATATTTTTATTTATTTATTTATTTTTGAGACGAAGTCTCACTGTGTCACCCTGGGTAGAGTGCTGTGACATCACAGCTCACAGCAACCTCAAGCTCTTGGGCTCAAGCGATAATCTTATTTCAGTCTCCCAAGTAGCTGGGACCATAGGCGCCTGCCACAACGCCTAGCTACTCAAAGTTGCAGTTGTTTTTGTTGTCCAGCTGGCCCAGACGAGGTTAGAACCAACCAGCCTTGGTGTACCTGGCCAGCACCATAACTGCTGTGCCATGGGCGCTGAGCCTTTTTTTTTTTTTTTTTTTTTTTTTTGAGACAGAGTCTCAAGCTTTCACCTTGGGTGGATTGCTATGGCGTCACAGCTTACAACAACCATGGCCCTTGGGCTTAAGCGATTCCCTGCCTCAGCCTCCTGAGTAGCTAGGACTATTGGTGCCTGCCACAACACCTAGCTATTTTTTTTTTTTTTGGTTGCAGTTGTCATTTTTGTTTGACATACCCGGGCTGAATTTGAACCTGCCAGCTCTGGTGTATGTGGCTGGCACCCTAGCCACTGAGCTACAGGTGCTGAGCCTGCTTATTTTATATATATATATATATTTTTTTTTTTTTTTCTTCCCCCCACTGTTTGGTCAGGGCTGGGTTTGAACCCGCCACCTTAGGCATATGGGACTGGCGCCCTACTCCTTTGAGCCACTCCTTTGCCCCCTGCTTTATATATTTTAAAGCTACATAATTAGATCCAGCAGAGAGAAAATTGTGTTTTTCTGATTAATTGAAGTTTTAGAGGAAAAAAGATTTCTTCTGAGTTGCTAGTTTCATGGCTGAGATTCCTTACAACAAAAGACAGATTAACAAGAGAAAAGCATACAAATGTATTTACTATACTTTTTTTTTTTTTAGACAGTTTCACTTTATTGCCCCTGTAGAGTGCTATAGTGTCGTAGCTCATAGCAACCTTAAACTCTTGGGCTCTAGCATTCTCTTGCCTCAGCCTCCCAAGTAGCTGGTACTATAGGTATCTGCCATAACACCCAGCTACTTTTTATAGGCGGGGTCTCGCTCTGTTTAGGCTGGTCTCCAACCTGTGAGCTGAGGCAGTCCACCCACCTTGGCCTCTCAGAGTGCTGGGATTACAGGCATGAGCCACAACCCCCAGCCTTACCCACCAGCGGGTAAGGGGCCGGCACCCTACTCCTTTGAGCCACAGGTGCTGCCCCTTACTATATACTTTTTACATGACACAAGAGACTTCAAAAATGAATACCCAAAGAAAGGGAGAAACCTGTGTATTTTATGCTAAGTTTGATGACAGAATGGGTAGTTTTCAAGAGAGACGATTGGAGGTAAAAGGACTATGATTTCTATGATCTCTTGGTAATGAATCGGGGGTACTTAGTAAGGCTTATTTGTTTGGATTTCTTCTGGCATCTCTGTGTTTTTGTACCTCCACAGTGAAGGTTTATGACCTACTTTAAGTGGAAGGACAGAATTATTTTATAGCCTACTTTGAGGGAAGAAGGGTGGAGGGGGAAGATGAAAGTAACTTTCCTTCTTCTGTTTGCTCAAATGCCAGAGTGTGCCATGTTTTAGGGTGGGATGTCCTGACCTCATCAACCACTTTAGCACAATGACATGCTCCTCTTAATCCCTGGAATTGCTTTTTTGTGTTAAAATCTATTTTGCCTGGTGTTAATACAGCTATACCAGTTTCCTTTCTCTTTCCTTTTGATTTGAGCTTAGCTGTATATTTATCTGTGTCTGTATATTTAAAGATGCCTCTTATAAATGCTTTTATACCTAGGCTGTGTCTCTGTTAGTTTCTTTTAGTGGCTTGGTTTTATTTTTATCTCCTATCTACTGAGCATTTTCTATGTGTTGAAGTCTCCTGAAGGCATTTGACTTAAATTATTTGTAAATGTCAAAACTACTCTAAACAACTAGAATCAGGGGACTGTGTATCATAATAATAGAAACAGCATATGTTTGAAATGGTGTCCTAGAATGTTTTTCTGTGATCCAGGTTCCTTTCAAATGAAGAGGTGGGCAAACTGAAGATTTAAAAAATGGCAGTGGGGATTTATTATTCTGGCCTACATTTATTTGGGTTTGTTTTTTGTTTGTTTGTTTAGAGAACTATATTTTAAACTCAAATGCTTTTGGGGTGGAGGGAGGCAAAGTTTTACTTTGTGGCCCTCTGTAGAGTCCTTGAGAACATAGTTCACAGCAACCTCAAACTCTTGGCTCAAGCAATTCTCTTGCCTCAGCCTCCCAAGTAGCTGGGACTACAGGTGCCAGCCACAACTCCACGCTATTTTTAGAGACAAGGTCTCCTTCTGGCTCAGGCTAGTCTCCAACCTGTGAGCTCAGGCAGTCTACCTACCTCGCCTTCCCAGAGTGCTAGGATTACAGGCATGAGCCACTGCACCTGGCCTATCCTTTCTTTTTTCCTTGATAAGTCTTGTAGGTTTGTTAGTTTTTAGCAGTCTCTTTAAAGAACAACTTTATGGTTAGTCATTTCTGTTATTTTCTATTTTTCCTTTTAATGTTATCCTACTATTTTCATTGAAGTTCATCAAAGATGAACAATTTAAAGCCTTTATGTATTCTGTTATTTTTCATTTTATTTATTTTCCAAGAACTTTGATTTATTTTAATGGTGTTTTTCAAGTTTAATACGTAAATATAGAGAATATCTGTTTGAATTTTTTTTGTTTCTGTCATTTTCATTTTTTAGCTTTTTGTTGTTGACATTATCGTCATTGATAAATGAGCTTTTACATTCATTTTTCATTCATTTATTTAGTGTTTATTGTATATATACTCTCTGATGGGTACTTTTCTAGATACCATGGATATAGCTATGAACAAAACCAACAATACCATCTTCTTTTGTAATCTCTAGTCAGGAGATACAGAAAATAGTCAGAATCAGTCGTACAGTGTTTTAGAAGAAACATTTAAAAATAAATAAAGCAGAGAAGAGGAGCAGATAGTTTGGGATGGCAGCTGGGATGTAGAGGTCTGATGATTTGGGGGTTTGGGGCCATGGAGGGATTGTTTGTTTCTTGTGTTGTGTGTTTTTATTTGTTTGTTTGTTTGTTTTAGAGACTGAATCTCACTTTGTTGCCTTTGGTAGAGTGCTCTGGAATCACAGCTCACAGCAACCTCCAGCTTTTGGGATTAGGCAGTTCTCTTGCCTCAGCCTCCCTATAGTCCCTCAGCTATAGTCCCCTCAGCTATAGTCCCCTCAGCTGGGACTATAGGCGCCTGCCGCAACACCCGGCTATTTTTTGTTGCAGTTCTCATTGTTGTTTACATGGCCTGGGCCGGCTCGAACCTGCTAACCTTGGTGTATGTGGCTGCTGCCGTAATCAAAGGGCACCTATGGGCGCCAAGCCTGTTTTTTGTGTTTTTCAGACTGGGTCTGACTCCACTGCCCTGGCTAGAGTGCAGTAGCATAATCATAGCTTCAGCAACCTTACACACCTGGGCTCAAGTGAGCTTCCTGCCTCAGCCTCCCCAGTAGCTGTAAGGTCTGATGATTTGGGGGTTTGGGGCCGTGGGGGGGGGTTGTTTGTTTCTTGTGTTGTGTGTTTTTGTTTGTTCGTTTGTTTGTTTTAGAGACTGAGTCTCACTTTGTTGCCCTTGGTGACATGTGTAAGCCACCACATCAAGCCAAGATATCTTTTTCTTTTTCTCTTTTTTTTTTTTTGAGTCAGAGTCTAACTCTGTTGCCCTCAATAGAGTGCAATGGTGCCATAGCTCACAGCAACATGAAACTCCTGGGCTCAAGAGAGCCTCTTGTTTCAGCCTCCCAAGTAGCTGAGACTGCAGGCGCCTACCACAGTACCTGGCTATGTTTTTTAGAGACAAGGTCTTCCCTCTTGCTTAGGCTGGTCTTTGAACTCCTGAGCTCAAGCAGTCTGCCCACCTCAGCCTCCCAAAGTGCTAGGATTACAGATGTGAGCCACCATGCCTGGCCCAGCTAAGAAATCTTTAATAATGTATCCTCAAGACTAAGTTTTAAAAATTGCATTGTCAGGCAGTGCCTGGGGCTCAAAGGATTAGGACACCGGTATATATACCAGAGGTGGTGGGTTCAAACCCAGCCTTGACCAAAAACTGCAAAAAAAAAAAAAAAAATTGCTTTGTCTTTTTTACCCTATTAAAACAGTTGTTTTTCTTAAATGAACTCTATTAGTGCTTATAGTGAACTCTTATTAGTGCTTAGATGAACTCTATTAGTGCTTACTGCCAGGTTTTTCTTTTCTTTTTTTGCAGTTTTTGGCTGGGGCTGGGTTTAAACCTGTCACCTTCAGCATATGGGGCTGGTGCCCTACTCATTGGAGCCACAGGTGCTGCCCTACTGCCAGGTTTTTCATTCAGCTATTTCCATATCCTAAAGTTCCTTTTTTTTTTTTGAGACAAAGTCTCAAGCTGTCACCCAGGGTAGAGTGCTGTGGCGTGGCAGTTCACAGCAACCTCTAACTCTTGGGCTTAAGCTATTCTCTTGCCTCAGCCTCCCAAGTAGTTGGGACTATAGGTGCCTGCCACATGGCCTGACTTTTTTTGTTTTTGCAGTTGTCATTGTTGTTTAGAAGGCCTGGGCCAGGTTTGAACCCGCCAGCCCTGGTCTATGTGGCTGGCACCCTACCCAGTGATCTATAGGTGTCACCTGTAATGGAACATTTTAAAAAGAGATTCTAGATCACCAGTACGTCTGATGATACCGAAGATGGATATTATGTGGAAACGCATATACATTACTGACTGAATCAAAAGTGATTCGGAGGATCTAAGTCTGAATAATATCCAAGTGGCTGGAATAGTCCACTTAACTATTTTAGTTTATTTACATTTTCCATTTTATGGAAGCACATGAATGATTTAATCAGTGTTTACCTGAAATTAAGTCTAAAATTGTTCTTTCAGTGAACATAAAATACAATTATTAGCGTTAAGGAAATACTTTATCATAGTCTGGGTTTTTAATGTTTGTTACTAAGCCATAAAATAATGATGTATCTTAGAATTAGTGGCATCTTTAGTTTTGATCAACTCAGTAGATCAACTGTGTGCACTCTTTATCACCTGTGTATGCACACACGTGAGCATGACTTTGAGCTGCATTCAGGATTGCAATGATTATGTTACAGTGGTGACAGCACCATCTTCTATCTTTTTTGTCTTTGTTTTATTTTTGTGTTTTTGAGACAGAGTCTTATTTTGTTGCCCTGGGTAGAGTACCATGGGGTCACAGCTCACAGCAACCTTCAACTCTTGGGCTTGAGCAATTCTCTTGCCTCAGCCTCCTGAGAAACTGAGACTACAGGCGCCCGCTGCAATGCCTGGCTATTTTTTTGTTCCAGTTGCCACTGCTGTTTTAGCTGGTAGGGGCTGGGTTCAAACCCGCCATGCTCAGTATATGGGGCTGGCGCCCTACCCACTGAGCCACAGGTGCCACCCGACAGCATCATTTTCATTATACTAGCTGAAGTTGTACCTGCACTGAGTTAATGTTTTCCTAACTGGAATTTTGAAGCAGATTTTGACTTGGTGTTTAGGAGATACGGGCTGTGTCCATGTAGATTCATTGATTGGGCCATTTCTGTTCTATTCAGAGCTGGTTATACAGACTTAGAAACTTTACACTGGGCTCGGTTCCTGTGGTTAGGATGCTGGCCACATACACCAGGGATGGAGGGGTTGAACCCCGCCCGGGCCTGCTAAACAATAATGACAACTACAACAAAAAAATAGCCAGGCATTGTGGCGGGTGCCTGTAGTCCCAGCTACTTGGGATGCTGAGCCAGGAGAATTGCTTAAGCCCAAGAGTTTGAGGTTCCTGTGAGCGGTGACACCATGGCACTACCAAGGGCAACATAGTGAGACTCTGTCTCAAAAAAAAAAAAAGGAAGTTCATATTGTAGACAATTTCAGATATATGCACAAGCACAGAGAAGATAATGATCTGTCACTCAGTTCCCACTGAACTGTCTTTGTGCAAATCTCAGATGTCATACAGTTTCATATGTAAGTATTTCAGAATGTGTCTCTAAAAGATGTTACCAGGCCAAGTGAGGCAGTATGTGAGAGACTGAGGCAGAAGGATCACTTGAGCCCAGGAATTCCAGTGGTAGTACACAATGATTGTGCCTGTGAGTAGCCACAATATTATAGGCTGAGTAATGTATTGCAACCCATCTCTTAAAAAGAAAAAGATGAGAGCCGTGCCTGGGGCTCAAGGAGTAGGGTGCCAGCCCCATATTCCAGAAGTAGTGGGTTCAAACCCAGCCCTGGGTAGAGTGCCGTGGCATCACAACTCACAGCAACCTCCAATTCCTGGGCTCAAGTGAGTCTCCTGCCTCTGCCTCCCCAGGAGCTGGGACCACAGGTGCCCGCCACAATGCCCAGCTATTTTTTGGTTGCAGCCATCATTGTTGTTTGGCAGGCCCGGGCTGGATTCAAGCCGTCCCCCTGGGTAGAGTGCTGTGGCATCACAGCTC